CTTCTAGTGACTCTTTTTATTCGCAGTATTTCCAGAACCTCTGTTTTTGATTGTTTTGCTTTTTTTCCACGAAATACTACCCCTTCTTTTGTATATCCACCTTTCCAGAGACCCACCGAGTATCTAGCTGCCTGTTCATTGTCCAGGTTTGCAACACACAGCAGAGTTGAATATACATAACAATTGACCATAAGCTTTTTTGTTTTTGTTTTTAAGGAATAATGTATTTAATGTGGACACTAGAATCATGCAGGTGAGAACGGGACTACTGTATGGGTAAGAAAGAGTGCTAACTCAAGTATTCTGACTATTCGCTCCAGACCGTAACGACCCATGTGTGCTTCCGCACGGTTCACTTGTTCCGCAAGAGCCTTGACCATTTCTGCATTGTCAAACATGTGTCTGTGTGTGTGTCTGTGTGTGACTGTGTGTGTCTGTGTGTGTCTATGTGTGTGTCCCTGTGTGCGTCAGTGTGTGTGTGTGTGGTGTGTGCGTGTTTGTTTGCTGCCTGTCTGCCTGCTGCTTATATTTAAGATGATAAATATGTTGAGAAGGGAATCTGAGCACCTATGGATGTGTCCTGAGTGCTGTAAAGATAATTTAACTCATAACACATAACTCATAACTCATTTAAGTCATTAAGTCTGTATGACTATCATTAGTCTGATCGTCACTTTGTCCGTCTCCCCATTTGTCTGGCAATTTTTTTATATTCTTTTTATATTTGTATGTTCGTCTGTCTTTCTCAATATCTTGTTGTGGTCTGTGTACATGAGTGTCTATTTATTTGCCTTATCTGTCTTTTTATATATCTCTATATAAAACTGTATGTCTGATTATTTGTAACCTTCATGTCTATCTATGTGAGAATCTTCTACATATGTGTTTGCAATGTGATTTTAATACATAAATAACAAACAAAAATGCACGAGTATAAGATTGATGTGGAAGATAAAGAAGTATATAAATTAATGAGCCGTTCTTTATCTTACTATACCTGTTTATTAAATACATCATTGAATAAATTTACAATAAACATTGGAAGTAACCAACATTGCTCAGATCAGAGAAGATACAGCGAGTGATGGTAGAATATTAGTTGAAGCAGAAATGTGATCATTAGCCAATGTCGCTGATGTGATAGGTAAACCCGTGCCTACGCAACCGATGGCCTTACTTTCAAATCCACAACATGAATTTGCCTTATTTGCCCGTGTTGATTCAGCTTAAAAAAAAAGAATACCAGGAAATATTTCGGGAAGTAAAAGCGGCTGGCTATATCATAGTTGAGTTCTGATTAGTTTCTAAAATAGTGTCTTCTTCTTTTTTTTTTTCTTCTTCTTCTTCTTCTTCTTTTTCGTTCGTCCCCCCCCCCCCCCCCCTCCCTCTTCAAACTCCAGTGGAGCATAGGCCCTCAACTAACTCCTGCTGACCTTCTTGATATCGCATATAGTTACACCATTTGCTCCCCATTTGCCTCTCTAGTTTTTTGTTTGTTTCTGGGGTCTACTTGTTTCCATTATCCCAGTGGATTCCAATGTAAAGGTATTCTAGTTGTACATATTTATTAATTATCTTCTTCACGTTCACCAGTGTGAACTCCGGACAAAAGCTCTGGTTTTCATCCACCTAAGCACTTTAGTCTTATTCCAGAACTTGAATCTTGTTTGCACATCAGTTTTACAGATCTGGCTTACTTGCAAGCAGACTGTTGGTTCCTTGTTCAAAATCAAAGTACCAGATGTGCAAAAGAACTGTAAAGAGTTCTAGTTTAATGTTATTTAAAAGTTGTGTAATTACAGAACTTACCACCAGTTTGGGAACCGTAAACCTAATGGCTAGCAAACTTGAATCTTGTTTGCACATCAGTTTTACAGATCTGGCTTACTTGCAAGCAGACTTTTTGTTCCTTGTTCAAAATCAAAGTACCAGATGTGCAAAAGAACTGTAAAGAGTTCTAGTTTAATGTTATTTAAAAGTTGTGTAATTACAGAACTTACCACCAGTTCGGGAACCGTAAACCTAATGGCTAGCAAACTCGCCTCTCGACATGTTGGCTACCCGTTCGAATCCCCCTCTTTTTTTGTCCTACCTGCTGTGTTCTCCGCTGGCGGAAAGTCCTGGTTATTCGTCCATTTGGACTTTGACTGTGTGCCAAGCCTGAGTTATGCGTGTGCATCCGTTTTTCTGACTTGTTTCTGTGCAGTTGACTGTTTATTGCAGCTCGGGCAGATGTACTCTGACTTTGAAGGAAGCTCCCAGTTATTCGACTCTACAACGGGGACACGAAATCCACACCGGGAACTTTCTGAGTTATGAGCTCCTAGGTCAGCCTTTATTCACTGCCCATTTTTGTCTGTATTTATCACTTCTACGGTGCAGATAGGGAGGTCTTTGAGCAGGGCAGTGCTGTCGCCACGGACTGTGCAGGTTAGGATTGTATTAATGTCCCCGACATTTAAAAAAAAAAAAATCCAGAACCTTCCTGGGGATTTGAAGATTGGTCTTCCACTTGGCAGTCTAGCTTTCTTAACCCTTTGACCAGCCGCCCATATTCTTCTTCTTCTTTTGTCGTCTCGCCGATTCCAGGGGAAGTGGTTTGCCGCCAATATTAAAATAGTTGTAATTATATGTAATGGGATTTGCACCGTATGCAGTTGAACCCCCTCCCCCTTTTCACTCCCCCTAATTTAACACGAATACACTATTCATATTAAACGAGTGTTCTTCTTAGCTTCTTCAGCAGCAAACGAACCATCACTTGTGATTGCATTGACTCATATTCACCAGTCAAACTATTATTATGCTTGTACAATTTAAGTTTCAATGCCAGATGCGGACCGTTTAGTTAGGCAATGGTAAACTCATTATGGTGTTGGTTCTGCAACGTCCCGTAAAGGATAAGTAACTAAACACGTGATGTTTAGCGAGGAGATAGTAAAAAACCGAACTACATAAAACTATTCTACCCTGTGGGTGTAGTATACCCATAATTGTGTGCTCTCAAAAGTGTGTTGTCTTTTAATGTGGCCCTCAACGACAAATAAAATTTCTTTGACCTTTAATTGGAATCATCCCCGTGTGGGTTCGGGGGCCATACTATGGGGAAAAAATAGACCCACTGCCTACCCAAAGCATGCCGTAAGAGTCGACTAATTGGGAGCTTCCTTTGAAGTCGGAGTGTATCTGTCTGAGAGGCAAGGAACCAACAGTCTGCATACAGATCTGTCAAGCGGATGCACACGCAACACTCAGGTTTTGGAACAGGAGTGCATCCAGAAGTGGACGAACAACCAAAACTTTCCGCCGGAGTTTACAGCCGATGAACGAGAAGACGAAGAAGAATTGGAATCATTTGTGATTGTAGACTTTATACGATAATACAGTGAGGTTGTAGACCTTAAATGCTAATAAAATGCATCTGTAGGTCTTAAATAGAAATAACACGTGACTGCAGGCCTTACATTGAAATGAGATTGCAGACTTTCACTGTGACTTGCAATAAAATGTTTTGAAAGATTTCGCTTGTATACTGGACGTCACAACATTCAGGACAATCCCTTGTAAGCTACGTTTCCCTCCTGGACAAACAATGTCCATACGACAATTGTCGTCTAGTTAACAATCGTCTTGCCTTTCGCTCGTCTCGAGTAGCTCCCAGAAGCCGCAGACACTTGCCACTGCGTCATTCTCTCCAGGTACGTGTTTTCAATATCTCCTATTGTACTTATTACCCCGGCCCACAGGCGAGAGACCACAACTGTCTTGTGCAGTTGCAGTAAACCTTTAGTGGGGCCGGGCCGGCCAGCCAATCAGCCAGCTCTTTCACAAACACTCATGTATTGGAGGGCCAAATTATCCATGTGACCATCACTATCTACAACCTCTGGATTGATGCAACCCATTAATTACGAAGTAAATCCGATTCCACCTTCCTGAGCATGTTTTGTAAAGCTAATATGCTGACAACATGTGTACCGGATTCCCCCCCCCCCCCCCATCCCTCACGCATTGGGATGCCTCAGTTACCGCCTCAACCTCCATCCTCATTCGGACGAGCAGAATGGATTACCAGTCTGGTGAGATTAATGCAGCGGGGAGTGACGAGGGGTTCTGGCAGATGCTCGAGGCTCAGAGGAAAGGCAGGACGGAAATTTAATCATAATGCTACTGGCACCATTAGTATTGGAAATCTGCACTGGTTGCTGAAGATGGGGACTTGGCGTTTATGGCAATGCCCTGAGTGCTGTAATGCCGGTTCTTGAATCAACTCAACACAACTCCTCCCTCTTCATGATGGGTGTGATATGCCAAGCTCTTCTCAATATTCCTTCTTCCCAGGGTTTTACAGTGAAACCATGTCCACTCTTTCTGCTCCTGACCACAGACCCGTCAGTGTATAAAATCACATCTGCTGGACTAGATCAGCTGTTGGCCTCTTTGTCTGCACGTTCCTACATTCCCGACTCAATGAATTACCACTTTGTGCAACTATTATCTTCCCTCCTAGAATTTCTACCCACTCTTCTCCATGGCTTATCTCTTTAATGTTGCAGAACCTGTTGATTGTCGTTTCAGCCTGGGCCGTCAAGGATCTGCCCCACTTTAGTGAGTAGAGAAGGCAGACAGTGAAAATGCCCCAACTCCATCTTGAGCAGGAAAGTGTTCGAATGCTGGGTGCGCCGGCTATATTTTAATTATATATTTGCCTTGCCTTTCCCATTTGTTCTATACTTTCAGAATTGATGATCTGCTCGCTCTTCAACGTTGTTTATATGCTCTCAAAAGACCGTTCAACATCTATATTCTCGTGAATTATTTCATCATTCAGTGCTGCAGAATCAGCTAGTCTATCTACTTGCTGATTTCTCAATACACCGGCATTCCATGAAGTGTGTGTCTGAGTGTGTGTATGTGTGAGAGAGATGAGCTAACAGATACATACAAAATTGGTAGGCATAACATTGCCGCATATATACATATTACAATATTAACAGAGTTCACATAAGCCAGATGTCAGTTGTCAGAAGCAAGCTTTCTTTAGTTAATGTGTCAACATCGGCGAAACCAACTTGTGACAGTCCACATTGGCCCCAGAAAAGCGATCGGAAGAAGTGAGGATACAAACTCAGCGGCGAGACAGCACTATCGTGCGCTGGTGACGAGTTGCTCCCTAATTTCTTGTGAATAGATACAGCAGCAGAGGTCGATAATCCCGGCGACTTGGAATTTAAGTTACACAGTGTGGGTATAACGAACGATGAGGGAGGTAAACTGTTCGTCAGACCCCCGTACGGAGATGAGGAGATATGTCTTAGAGGGTTGCCCACGTGAGACATCCTAGAGGGGAATGGTGGAGATCTTGATAAGGAAGACGAGGATGATACAGACGTGGCACCTGCAGAAACTGGAGTTGCGCTGTGAAGCAACAGTTTTTCTATGCCAGGTAGTCTGCTCATGACGGCAGCGGCAGAATTTCCGTTGTCCATAAAGCTGGCATGGGGAGGTAGAAGGTTGGGTCCGATGTACGGGTACATGCCAGGATGCTTCATCATGCCCGGTAAGGAATAAAACGACGAGAATGGCAAAAGAGCTGGGTGTCCTTCTCGGGGGAACGCCGGAATTCCCATGTATGGGAATCCCACACGCCCGAATGCTAAACGACTTCTAGCGGAGTGTGACGAGCGTCTGCGAAGCTTTCCTGTAGTTCCCCCAATGAATACGTCATCGCAGGACGGGTCCAACATCCAGTAATTTCCTTTACCAGGATCGTCGTAATGTCGGGGCACCTGTGGAGTAGAAAACAACACACATATTTGTTATATATATATATATATATACCAAAATCCCAACCTATTATATGACTTTCACCAGGACATGCTTTCACAGCGACTCAACGATTATGCTCAAGAAGATCGAGAAGGGTTGCATACTCAGACAATCGATGGAGTCCATAGAATAGATCTAGGCTAAAAAAAAAAAAAAAAAAAAAAAAACCCAGGTTCATATTCTTCTTCATATTCATCCACCTCTAGACTTTAGCCTTGCTCCAGAACCTGACTGTTGCGTGCACATCCGTTTCACAGATCTGGCTTATCTGTGTGCTGACATGTGGTTGTATGTCTGTCAGACAGGGTGCTCCGACTTGGAACTATGTCCCCATTAGTCGACTACTACAACATCCTTGTTGGGGAAGCAGTAGGTCTATTCTTGTTTTTCCCCACAATGGCGCCTCGGAATCCACACGGGGAATCAATTGCATATTTGTACTGAGGTATTCTGGTGTAAAGGGCAATGAAGGAACTGACAATCGAGGCAGCTCAATTAAACGAATCAAGCAATGTTTGTAACTCTGCAGCATTGACAAGACTACACGAACATAACATCAAAATGGGTGAAGCCAGACAAGCGCACTACACAGGGTCCAAAGAAGAATAGTAAACCAACACAGAACTGGTGACACAAGCCACTGCAAGCTGAGAACCAGTGACATAAGCCACTACACGCTGAGGACCAGTGACACAAGCCACTACAAGCTGAGGAACCAGTGACACAAGCCATTACACGCTGAGGACCAGTGACACAAGCCACTACAAGCTGAGGAACCAGTGACACAAGCCACTACAAGCTGAGGAACCAGTGACACAAGCCACTACAAGCTGAGGAACCAGTGACACAAGCCACTACACACTGAGGACCAGTGACACAAGCCACTACAAGCTGAGGAACCAGTGACACAAGCCACTACAAGCTAAGGTACCAGTGACACAAGCCACTACAAGCTGAGGACCAGTGACACAAGCCATTACACTCTGAGGAACCAGTGACACAAGCCACTACAAGCTGAGGAACCAGTGACACAAGCCACTACAAGCTGAGGACCAGTGACACAAGCCACTACACGCTGAGGAACCAGTGACAAAATCCACTACAAGCAGAGGGCCAGTGACACAAGCCACTGCAAGCTGAGGAACCAGTGACACAAGCCACTACACGCTGAGGACCAGTGACACAAGCACTACAAGCTGAGGACCAGTGACACAAGCCACTACAAGCTGGGGACCAGTGACACAAGCCACTACAAGCTGAGGACCAGTGACACAAGCCACTACACGCTGAGGACCAGTGACACAAGCCACTACAAGCTGAGGACCAGTGACACAAGCCACTACAAGCTGGGGACCAGTGACACAAGCCACTACAAGCTGAGGACCAGTGACACAAGCCACTACACGCTGAGGAACCAGTGACAAAATCCACTACACTCTGGGGAACCAGTGACATAAGCCACTACACACTGAGGAACTGGTGTCATTCGCCACTACACGCTGAGGAACTGGTGTCATTCGCCACTAAACGCTGAGGAACTGGTGTCATTCGCCACTAAACGCTGAGGAACTGGTGTCATTCGCCACTAAACGCTGAGAAACTGGTGTCATTCGCCACTAAACGCTGAGAAACTGGTGTCATTCGCCACTACACGCTGAGGAACTGGTGTCATTCGCCACTAAACGCTGAGGAACTGGTGTCATTCGCCACTAAACGCTGAGGAACTGGTGTCATTCGCCACTACACGCTGATGGAAGATACTGAAGAGTACTTGAGCACTTGTGGACTGAATCGTTCGATTTGCGATGACGGTAATGTGTCGACTAACTAACTAATAACCTACTTACTATGTCGAGATATTGTTTTATCATAAGGTTTACCATTCTACATTATCATTAGAATCACAAAACAGATTTGCGCTCATGTTCCGCCCCAACTATGTTATCTGGTCTTCTATGTATATATCTCTTTGTGTTCGACTTTATTCACAGGCGAGAACAAGGTTACCAAAACATGCGCTACATCGAACAAGACTTAATATAAAAACGCAACCGCTAAGGGCACAAACGAAAGGCAGTCTACGCGAAAACACAGCTTACAGTGATGCACCAAGCATTGAACGCAGTTGCTTAGGCAGTAAAACTGTATACTTCAGATCTTATGCGGAAACTGCATTAGCAAAAATCGCCAGATATGCAAACATAACTTGTGAGCTAAACGGACTGCTACACCTATCCGCCATACTGAATCGGAAGTCATCCCACACAAGAGCAAGATTACATGAAGATATACATACCCGTACAGTACTGAAGGGTATACAAGTGTACCTTTTTTTTTTATTTAGCTGATTCAGGTGCGGTTATTATAAATTTCTAAAAGGTTGGTAGGGTATCTGAGATTTGGACTTTGAGTATTCAATGATGTACTTTAATGTGTTATACATTTCGGATCAGCCTTTGGGCACGTAGAAAAAATGTTCCTAATTAACCAACCTCTCACAGCAACTCACTTGCCTATTTACTAGTTATTAACTAACAACACAACACAAAAAAAAATTTTTTATGCTGTAGCAGTATAATAATATTAATCCCCAACTATTTCTATCCATTTTTTGTACATTTTCTTTATATTTACCAGTTGTAAACTCCGGCAGAAAAGTTCTGGAAGTTCATCCACTTGTGGAGTTTAGTCCGACTTCAAAGGAAGCCACAATGAGTGGACTCTTACTACATGCTCGGTTTAGGAGGGTTTAGAGCCCCCCCCCCCCCCCCCCAAAACCTTCCCAATGGGGAATGTGTGTATATGATATGTGTGTGTTGCAAAGCACTTAAAGTTGTATGGTCAGTTTTTATGTGCATCACTTACCTTTAAAATTATATATCATTAATGATAATGTGCTGCATATTTTTTAACTGTCTCAAGATATATAAGCATCTTGAATGCTAACTTCTGTTCTCATGATGTTATGTTAAATCCTTACCTGTAGCTCTCTAGAACTATCTACTCCCATCATGTTTTCAACTGTCATAGGCCTATTGATGTTTATCTTATATTCATGGGGTGGAGGTGTGTCTCAAAAGTTTTCCACTAACGATATAATATTGAGTGTTTCCTTATAATTGGTGTATCTTCATGTTTAATCATTATTTCATAGTATAAATAATTATACATGGTAGCAGTACCTAATATTAATTCATTTGTGTTCATTATTGTGGATCTTCTTTTTCGTATTCACAGGCTGCAAACTCTTGTTTGAAAGTTCTGGTTGTTCGTTCGCTTGTGGAGTTTAGTCTTGTTGCAGACACTGGTGGTTGCGGAGTGCTGTTTCTTGCCTCTCAACAAACACATTCGGACTTCCAAGGAAGCCACACTTGCTCGTTGCGGAGGTGGAGAGTCTATTCTAGTTTTTTTTTTTTTTTTTTTAACAGTGGGACCTGGTATCTACATGGGGATTTTTTCTGATGTTGCGCAACATTTGCTGTTGTATTTTTCTTCTTCTTCAGTATTCCGAGCCCTTGAGGTTCATTGATGCAGATATCACCCGCCTCCATTCATCTCTCTGGTTGGTCTTCTCTTTCCAGTTAGTGACACCAAGTGTTTGCAGGTCTGTCTGGACATTATCTCTCCATCGTCTTCTTGGTCTGCCTCATGGTCTACGACCATTCATCTTCCTTGCGTATACAGTTTTTAACGTTCTAGGTTCGTTGTCCGTTTAAATCCTTCCGAAAACGAGGCTTGGATATCTGTTTCGTAACAAGATAAAGTTTTACCTTTGTAAAAAGAAGTTTTTTTTTAAATTAGTTTATTTATACGCTCTATTATTATACAAGCATGTATGTGCCTTATCTTTAGCTTGGCAACTTATGAATGTGATTCATGGAGCCTTTGAGCTGAAATGTTGCAGAAAAATTATTAGAACACCAAGAAGAAGAAAAACACGACATCCTTCAAGATCTGAGCGTCCATAAGTACTGGCTCATAAAGAGCATCTGGTCCCAATAGTTGAGCTATATTGGCCATGTTAAGTGGACTAGAGAGGATGGTGATGGAGGGTACAATTTCTGGCAGATAAGCCAGAGGCAGACCTCAGAGAATGTGGATACAGGACATTGAACAGGCATTTGCTATAAAAGTACATAGGGTTGCGGAATTGGGAAAGAGACTTCAAGACGGGCCGTAATGAGAGCGATGTTCTGTAAAGGGCCTTCTGACTGAGTGATGGACTGCTCTGTATGGATCTTGGTTTCCCTATTAGTCTTCATATGTGCTAGTTTTTGTCCTTATTCTAAAATGAATGTCTGTTTCTCCATTATTTGTATGTATTATGTCCTGTTATCATATTATATGTTTCATTTTATCTGTACAAGCACGAAGTTTTCCACTATTAGTTTGTAGATACACTTTTACCCTGTTAATCTGCACAAATGTTCAAATTTCGATGGGGCCAGTAGGAGTGTGATGTTTGTTTGTTTTAGTATCCAGAAGCCATGAGTTCCCTTTAGGCTCGGTATTGTGGATATCGCAACCTTTCGACCTTGATTCCATTTTAAATAACGTAAATCTGGAAGAAAATGTGACTTTTCTGCCTACCCCCGGGAGTGAACCCGGACCACAAGGAGTTCGCCACCCGCTCACCGCGCAATCCGGTTTAGCCAACTATGCTAGAGAGACGGGCGTAGGAGTGTGATTATGTGTCCGCTTGTCTTTCCTCTGAAGTTAACTCGTATGGTACTATGCTATTTACCATTCTTTCATTTAGTCCAGATAATTTACATTTTCTCACGTGTCTCCACCATGTCCAGTTGCAATGACCTTTCCTCTTCTCACAGACTATGCCGTGTGCAGTTGATGGTTACGTCTACCCACAACCTCTCGGGAATTTTACATCTGTTCTTACACATGATCTTCCTTTCCATGACGTGCGGCTGGGTGGTCTCGGGGCATGGCGTCCGCCTCGAGT